ATGAGAGAGAGAGAGAGTGCAGGAGGGAGAGAGAGCAAAAGATAAAAAGGGACTTTTAAAAGGTCATGGGAAACTAGAATTAAAGTACTAGTTTATTTGTACATACTTCTTTCATAATACACATTTTTCTTGAACTTTTTGCAGACCCCCTCATAGGTATTTTTGACAGAGTCTTGCCATGTTGGCATCTTCCTGCTCCAGCCTTTTGGTTAGCTAGTTCCACAGGTAGGTCTCACCTTGTCCAGCCTGTTCTGGTTGGGCCAGGAATCGAAGTTGGGTCTCCCATGTTGCCTCAGCCATGGTACAGTGATGCCCTCCCACTTGTGCCACCGTGGTTGGGCCATGATAAGATATTCTTACTTAAAACATTTACAGTCTCTTTTCCTTCCTATAAATAGGAAAGAAAATATGAACTACATACTCACATGTTTAGATGGAAGAACGGACAATTGGGTGGAAGGGACAGAAGGAGGACACAGCACATAGGAAAACAGGAGAGCAGTTTGCAAAGTTTTAAACTTTCCTTTTGAATTTGTGTTTAAATATATCACTTGATATGGTTGGCCTGTGTGTGTTGAGAAGTGGTAGTCATTAAGTAAGAGGCCTTGAACTGATGTATTGAGTCAGTAACCTTGTTTTTTCTGTTGTTTTTTTCATTCAACAAAAATATATTGGGCAACTATCAGCAGGGCATTGTGCAAGATTCAAGAAAAGCATAGTCAGTTATGTCCCTGTTTGTGTGTGTGTGTGTGTGTGTGTGTGTGTGTGTGTGTGACCATTTCTTTGGCTGCTAATTTTGCCCTTTAAATAGTCCGAACAATGCAGAATAAATGTCCACTTTACAGTCCTAGGAAGTGCCCCAGCAATACTGAGGGCTGTTCTTGTCAAAATCTCATCTTGTGAGTTGTTTCCTGATGTGTATGTGCAGCCTGTGGTTTCTCTGGGATGGTGAAATGTGTTTATTCAGAAAAGAGAAAGCTCTTCCCTCCTTTTGTGTTTTTCCCTGCTTGACTTTGGGCCTTTTTTCCTGAGACTAGCCCCCTCATAACCTGCATGACTAGGGGAAAAGTGGAATTTGCCAAATCGCCAGTGCATATGGTCTCACAGCAAGCATCAGCTAGGCACTGCCTGGGATCAGGGAGGGTGTTAAACACTGTGTGGAGAACTTCCCCAAGAGCAAACTGGGCAAGACCACCCTCTTGCCAATGCTGTGCAAGCCCTGGTGGTGACTGCCTAAGTCTTCTCAACACTTGAAAATGGAAGAGCTTGAGAGGGACTATTTTTGCCCAGTGTTTCTGGGTTAAAAGGCACTTTATTTGGCATTTTAGAAACAGTGCTGTGTATACGGTGTACTAAACATGGCTGAGAAAGGTCCCCTAGTTGCTGTCTATTTCTCTCATTGTGGAAATAAGGGGACACATTCAGACTTTTAGGTCCTTTGTAGTAGAATCAGGGCTAACACTCAGATTTTCTAACTCTTAGCCCATGGTTGGTTCTCACTACATTCCATGGTGAAATTACACTTCTAGGTAATTTTTCTTTATATAAGACAATTGTAACATCATAAAGTGGAAGGCATGTAAAAAAAAACGTGAGCTTTCAAGTCAGACAGAACAAGGTCAAATCCTCATACTGCTTATATCCACATGACCTTGGGCAAATTAGCCAGACAGTTCAATTCTTTGTTTCTACATCTATTGCAGGGAAGAAAGAATAGTTGTCCTTTATGGATGTTGTGAAGATCAAATGGGGAAATATTTAAAGAGCTTGGCACAACACTCAGACTGTCTTAGATATCTGATATACTTGTTAGAAAGTAAGGAAGAATACAACTTTCTCTGGAAAAGTGGATGATGATGATGATGGTGATGGCGGTGAGAGTGATGGTGATATGGTAATGGTGACATAGTTACTACTTATCAATCATCATCTTTTAATCATTTCCTCACTCTGAGCCACCACATGATTTTGTTATCTTCCTCATTTAATAGATCTTTCTGTTTCCAAGTCCTTTGAGTCTTTGCTCATTATAACAGGCTAGTTCTCAGGTTCTAACCCTAACTGTAGCAATAGTGAATCTGCTAACTGAAGAACAAGCAGAAACTTCCCACAAATACCTTTCTTTCTGTTTTCAGGGTGAAAATGACTTTGCCTGTACTTTATATATAGATCAAGTCCCCTATTAAGAATTGAATGACTGCCTGTACTTTATATATGGAGAACCAATAAACACGTGTCATTCTCAAGAATGCCTTAAACTTATTTATAATACCGTGGACTTGCAGTGGCCAACCTTTTTCCTGTCAAGGATCTCAAGATCAATATCTTTAAGATACCAATTATGTAGAAATGTACAGATAAGTAAGCATTGACTGCCTGGTTATTAAGTTTTTTACCTTGGAGGAAAACATTTACATCTTAGCGGTTAAGAACCAGTACTTTGGACTCAGATGATCTGAATGTGAATTCCAGCCTTACTCTTTGCAAGCTGTGTGACCTTGGAGAAAGCACTTCTCATGTCTAAGCTTCAGTTTCCTTATCTGTCAAATGGGAGTAACAGTAGAACTATACATGTCAGGTGGTTGTAACATTGAAATAAGATATGTATAGCATGCGAGACAGCTCAATTAAAATTAGCTCCTACCTTAGGTATATTCATTTATTCTTGTACAAAAGTCTTTATGCCCTCAACAGAGAACCATATAACTCAGGGTACAACCAGGAAAACATGAAGCACTCTAAGTGTTTAAATCAGAGGAAATCTAATAAACAAAAGTAGTGACCAGAATGATGGAGGAACTGAGTAGAGCTACATTCCCTGTGAAGCAAGCCAGAGAACAACCAAACAGAATCTGCTACCTCCCCTGCTAGGAGGACAAAGGAAAGAGGTGGCAGTACCATGGTTCAGGGTGGTGGATACCAGCAGATACTGGAGCCATGGCAGCCCTGTCCACAGAGCTGAAGCCAGAGGGGGGAAAACAGTCACTTCCAGAGTTGCCTCCTGAGATAAGGAAGAAGGAATATGCTTGGACTTGTCCTTTCATCCAGCTCTCCGATCTCCCAGCAGGGCCAATCTTGGCTGAATTGGAGTCTGGAAACTGCAGTCTACAGGAGCAATTCTGCAGAACTGAGCAGAATAGGGGGAGTCATCTGAAAACAGACCAGAACTTGTGCAGTTTCAAGTTCCAGACCTCAGTCACCTTATGACTGGTATCTAACCACTGTGGTAACCAACACAGAACGTTTGGAAGAGTCTTCACCCTGCTGTGTGTCTCTGAATAGCAGAGGTTCACAAGTTGCTGTATCCCAGAAGGCAACATTTGGAAAAAGCAATGGAAAAACCTAGAAAGCTGATAGAGGCCTCTCTGTGGCTCCCTGGATCCCACTTTCTAGAAAGACCTATGTGCTGACCCATCACTGTCTTGAATGTCTGAAAATGTATGGACTGATGAGGTACTCTCACCCTGCCTTTTACCTGGCTAACTCCTGTCATATCAGTATAGAGTGGACTCCTTAAGAGACTTCCCCGAGTCCCTACAGATGGATTAGCTGCCACTGCGGTTTCTCCTGGCTTATATTGATCCTCTCCTTTGAAATGCTCCATTTAGGGTTCTCTCTCCCTCCCACCAGACTAAGCATCATGAGAACAAGGACTTGCTTTCTTTATTTTTGCATCACCAAACATTCGTACTCTCACTTCCTACCCTGAGCTAGCAACCATGAAAGGTCCTCGGCTGCCAAGTAGTGGATAAGGCAATGACAGCTTCCTGCAGCTTTGTTACAGTAGGGAGGCAGATGGCATATGACATTTTAAAATTACCAGTGTCTTTATGCTAGGGAAGTTCAATGGTGCATGAGACCATTTAACAGGGAGACTCCATCTTTCCCAGAGGATCGGGGAGCCCTTTATGAGAAAGTAACATTTGACTTAGGAATAAATAGGTGTTCATCTGGCAGAGAGGTTGGGAAATGGCATTCCAGGCAGATGGAAGAGCAAATGCAAAAGCATTGAGGTGGGAAAGAGCACCGAGTATTGGAGATGGAGGGCACTGCATTGCAAGCTGATACGCCCACAGGTCTGTTCTCTCTTGCACCACAGTCTCTATGCCTTGCCCTAGGCACTTCTCATGTCCTACCTCGTGTTATAGTTATTCATCTTCAAGGTTCCTAAGGCACACCTGCTATATCGGTTTCTGCCTAGAAAGCACTGATTGAACACTTGAATAAATGAAGGGCAAGTCCAGGCTCTAAACAGTCTTTGTAGCTCTTGCATCATGTTTGTAACTTCACTTGTTCAGCAAGTATTGAGGAATACAATCTGAGGGGAGAAGAAGCCTGAGTTTCTTCCTCCCTTTGTGAGAAACTACTGCGTGGCATTTTTTCAACAGGAACTCTCATCTTTCATTCTCCTTTTTGTCCACATTTGGTGCTCTCTAATAAGTAGGATTAAGAATGATGACCTAGAGATGTCACACAGATCCAGTTATCAAACACCTCTATTGCTTTGCCATCTTTGAGATCGAGATGTGCATATTTAACCAGATTCCCCTGGGCTCTACTTCCTACTAGCATTGTGACATTGGGCAAGTCCCTCAACCTCTCAAGACAGAACTTGCTTCCCTGATGTCTGTGGCATTAATGATACTCCTTGACAGTGGGAGTATTCAATGAGACTGTCCGTGTAAATGTACAGCACAGCACCTGCATTTAGTGAGCACAAGTAACCAGTAGCTGCTGCTTTTATCACAAGTACAGCCACTATTATTATTCCAATGTCAGAAGCCAGAATAAAGCAAGGACAGAACCGGTTTCCGGTTTCCTCAGTTTCCCCTGGCAGGTGAATGTGCCTTTTGGGGTTTCTCTTTGAGACTGGTCTACATGGGGAATGCTACATCAATGTTCTTTGATTATTTTTAAAGAAGAGTACGTCTTGTTTTTAGTTTTCTTCTCCCCCCTCTCTCTTTTAATTAAAGATTTTGTTCTGTTTTGCTTTCTCACAGGAGTGATTGGAGCAGATGTGAGGGGGCACAACCTCGTCTGTGAGGGCCAACCAGTGACATCACGGCTGGCTGTCATCTGTGGAACATCTTCTTGTCACATGGGGGTGAGTCTGCTGGGTACAAAGGCAAGGCCACCACATGAGCAGGAGGCAGCAGATCCTGAGCTACCACTTCCCTCTGCCCCTCTTCTTCTTCCCTCGTTTCTTTTCCTGCCCCCTGCACTTTGTCTAGTGAGAACCCAGCCCCCACAACAGCCTTGCTTAGATGGGCCAGATCTTCTTCCAGGGGCCAAGTTCTTAAAAAGTGTGAGAAGGGTTGGATCAGCCTTTGACGTCACTCTGGCCAGAGAGCTCAGGCATGGAGGGTGAAATCAGATCCAAAGACAGCAAAGTCTCCCTCCCCAGACCGATCTGTCCCTAATGGGTCACTGAGTCCTTTCTGCAAAGGGGTGTCTATTTTCTTTGGCTGCTGAGCTCTCTCTCAATCAATATAAATCCATCTCCCTGGGAGTGTCCTGATGATCTATAGAATTGGGCTGCATATCATGACTTTAAAAGAACACTGATAAGCAATTTTCACTTGTTAATTTTTCTCCATGAATTAGTAGAAAGGCTTTCTCCAAGATTGCAGTTAAAATTTAGTGCCTGCCCTAAAATTTATATCTTCTTTAAATGCATGAGTCTGAAAGCATTCCATTTCGATAAGTACCCATTTCTACCATATTTTTATTTAAAAGTCATTACTCTGTTACACTTAGATGGACGACTCCTTGGATTTTTCCCAGATGAGTAAAATAGAAGAGGGCATGGGGGAGGAGCAGAGAGATGAGCAGAGATTAGAATGGGATGCAGTCCAGGGCAGAATTGCTATAACTGAGGAGGAAGCCATGTGCCGTGTGAACTGTGTAGCAACCATAGCCACCAATTAGCCCATTTACCATTAGATATCTTGTCTGAATAAATATTGATACACTTAACCTATTTGCTGATTCCTGCTCTTCTGTCTGGACTGTGCTAAACCCGGGGGGCATATGATGACAGAGTTTCTCCCTATGACGAGGTAGAGATATAGCAAAGGTTCCAATACTCACACATGCAAGGCTCCAAGATCGGAACTAAACTTGTGATACTGAGCCTCTGTCATGTCCAGACATTAGACCAGGTGTTCTCATACACGGTCTCCAATTTCCTAGAGATGGTGGGGCCAGAGAAACTGGTTTCTAATTCCACTTCCTTCACTTACTGAGTCTGAGCCCTTAGGGAAGGTATTTAAACTCTCTGGGCCTCAGATTCCTCATATGCAAAATGTAGAAAGTTATAATACCTATCTTAAAGTGCCGTGAGAATAAATGAGCAAAGATTGAGCATCCCTAGTTCCAAACTGCGAAATCAGAAATGCTCAAAAGTCTAACAATTTTGAATACCAACATGACTCAACAAGTGGAAGATTCTACAACCAATCTCATGTGATGAGTCTTAATCAAAACACTGGAATTTTATGAAAGTTGAAAAAAATTACCTTCAGGCTACATATGTAGCCTGAAGGTAATTTTTGTGTTGGTCTTCATCCTACCCCAAGGTATCTCATTTTATATATGTAAATATTCCAAAATTTGAAACACTTGTGGTCTCAAGCGTTTTTGATAAGGCTTACCCAACTTGTGATATGAAGTGCTCACACAGTAAGCTCACCCCAAGGCTAGCTTTTAGTTGTTGGTGCCATTGACGTGGAGTAGAAAGGAGATGATGGTTGATTCTGCCTGAAAGGGGCCCAAGCTTCACATCTTCCTGGGATGACATTTGGGCTGGACTTTAAGGAAATAAATTTCCTTTTATTTGTTTCTCTGGGCTCTGTCTGGGCAAAGACTTAATTGGAACTTCTTTATGTTTAAAAACCCAGCCTATTTTTTTCCCCCTTCAGCAGCCTTGTTGTAAGGCTTAGCTGTCACCGAACAGAGAGATCTACAGAGACCTTTGGCCTCCTTAAGCAGGAAATACCAACACAGGGAACCAGCCCTTTTTCCCTTGGCGTGGGTCTACACTTCTTAGCTTGTCTTCACTGAATGCTGATTTAACCTATTTAAATCATCTCCTATTTCCACAAAGACATACTAATCTGGCTTTTCCCATGAAGCCCAAATTTCAGACATGTTTAACACCACTCATTCAGATTTCTGAGCAGAAGCTAATCTCAATGGGTGTAACTGCAATATGCAGCTTCTCAGTCTTCATGTCCCTTAATGGGGATAACACTGGCTTTTCCTACCATATCTATGTTATAAAAACTAAGGCATGAAAAGTACAGTAATTTTCCCAAGGTCACAAAGGTATTAAGTTTTGGAGCTAAAAGCAAATCTAGTTCTGTCTGATGCCAGAGCTCACACTTTTGATGTTTCACATTACCGTGCATGATTGCCATGTACCCATCAAGGAAGGCAGAGAGCGTGGACTTTTCAGTCACCCTGATACACACTGGGACATCTATTCATGGCCTCTTTGGCCCTGTGACCTAGCAAGCTGCTTAACATCTCTGTGTCTCAGGTACTTCATCCGTCAAACTGGGGGTAATGATACCAGTGTCCCAGAATTGGTGGAGAACCTGCAGAGTGTAGTCTACGCCTTGCACATAATAGACACTCAAAAATGGTGTGGATTCTTACTAAACTTTCCCGGTGATACAAACAGCTCACATGAAGCAACTTGTTTGGGCTTTAACGGATTTGATGGGCAGCTGCAGTTGGCTGCAACGAATGAAGGCCATAAAATGCTAGTTTATTATGGTTGTGCTGTGTTGGAAAGAAAGTCCCCACCCCCACCACACTTTGTACTTGGGAGTGAGGAGAGATCTTCTGGTCCAAGGGGATTCATCATCAGCTTTCATGTTATGTCATGAGGGCGAGACTGTGGTCACACTGGCATTGGAGAGGGCCTTTGATCTCTCTCAGGTGCCAGGAGTCCAGCAAGCCAGCAACAATAACACCTTTGTGAGGTCTAGGAGAGGTTCAGGTCTGAGGAAACACTCCCAAGAAAACTCAATGACCCTCTTTGTTGTGGTTCTGGCAAATAAAACCACCAACTGTCGGGGAAAAAAAAAAATCCACCAAGCAGCCCTGGGACTAAAAGGGGCTATAGGTGCTTCTAAAAGTGGGTTTCAACATGATCTAAAAGATTCTCTTTCTTCCTGTCTGCTTGCTTCTGGTGTTTCCAACTCAGTAGATTAATTGAGACAGAACTCCCTGGAACATTTGTGTTCGATCCAGGTTGTCTCTTTCTGAGTCACCCAAAAAGAATGAATGAATGACCAGGTAGTAGAGCATTGGCAGACACTTACCTGCTCCCTACCTTCAGGTTTCTGTTACCTCCAGGAGTCTGGAGAAAAAGCCTGAGGTTGAACATAAGACATACTAATCAGGCCTTTGATATTTTAGAAGATACAAGTGTGGGCTGCACATTTATCTTCCTTGTGGATGATTTAATTAACGAGGAAAAAATGCTGTTCTTTTTTTTAGCTCTGTGAAAGCAGAGCTGCTTGTTCAGAGTTAATTACCACCAAGTCACCAAAACCCAAGATAATACGCAGCAGGGGTTAGCCAGAGGTTGAAAAGTCACGAGGTCAGATGGAGCTGATCCTTGCCATTGCTCCAGCACCCCTTTTCTTGAGCTGTCAGATCAGGTTATAACCTGGCAGCTTGTTTTCCAGTCAGCGTGTCAGATGGGGAGAGGACCCTGAGGTGGGGGTGGGGGAAAAATGACAAGGTAATGTTTGAGCAGAGTGATACTTTATGAGAGGTGGGACGTGCATCTACATCTTAAATTGCTCAGAACTGAAATTTTCTCCTCCTTAGATGAATGAAGAGAGAGGTTCTCTGTCCCTGAGGACCTGTGGAATGTCAAAGACACTATATGCAGGCCCTACCACTTACTGTGTGCATCTATGCAAGATATTTCTCTGTTCGGTGCCTCAATTTCTTCATCTGTTAAATATGGGCAATTGAGCCAGCCCATAGTGTTGTGTTTAAGACAGCTAGAATCCACATGGCCAGCTGTGTGGTTCGAGTCCCTGACCCAGCTACTGCAGATACACTCTGGGTGCATGTGTGTGTGGTACCCAGAATCCCTAAAGGAGGGAGAGATGAAGGAGAAAGGATTGACCATGATCGTTACCCATGGTGAGGGGGTGCTTTCTCACTTTCCTTTCTTTTCCTCTCTCTGTCTCTCTCTGGTGAGCACACATGCCCTCTGGCAAAAAATTTACAAAGAAAATGTAGGCGATAGTATTTATCCATAATGTTGTGTGAGGATTAGATTATGTAGTCCTTATAAGCAACTTGGCATTGTACCCGGCACAAGATACCAGCTATAGCATTCTGATTCATGAAGACCAGAATATGACCCATGTGATAACAGATTAGAATTAGTGACATCAGAGGCCAGCAGGTGGCATGATAGTTAAGGCCTCTGGACTCCCACATGGCTGACTGTAGTTCAATTCTCAGAACTGACAGCTTGCTTTCTCACTTTCTCTCTCTCACTCTCTATCTCTCCTTGGTAAGGGCACATGCCCTATAGCAAATTTTTAAAAACACCATAATAATAAATAAAATTTAATAATTCTTAAGAAAAAAGGAATTAGTGACATCAGTATGAGCTCACACTCAGTTTTACATAGATAAAGATGAATACATATAGACATAGTTATCAGTAATATGTGTCAATATACAGGTCAGTAAACATATATACATTCCCTAGCTCTGTCAGCTCTGAGGGTCTAGAAATAAGGACACCCCAGCTGCTGGTTGTTAGGAGCACACCAGTGTCAGATCTAAATAGACCAGTGTCAGATCTTACTTTCTAAAACAGTATCCAAGAAAAAGAGCCACTCTCCTTGGGAGAGTGATTGATTCTAGGATTGAGGCATGAAATATACACAATGAGCCTGGAGCATCTTGTGGCACTGAAAAGTAAGTGCTCAAAAAAGCAGAGTATGTCAGAAGAAGCCAACTAAGGGAGTGCCCAGTGGCCAAAACAAAAGCAATTTAAGTTGTAAAATAACGTATTATTGGATTATAGCCAAGAGGATAACATAAATATCTGTAAGCCCATAC